ACTGGTCAGCCTGGCAGCTCGCGTGGTCCCTCGGACGCGGCGGGCGCTGTATTTTCTCTTTTGGTGCTGCTGTGCCTTTGGGCCGAAGCGGTGGCTGCCCCTGGGTGAGCAGTCCCTGGGTGAGCAGTCCCTTCTGCGGGGGGCTATTCCTGATCCATTGGGCCTTTTTCCTTTTATTTTTGTAGCAAACCTAAAACATCAGCACTCCAGCTTAAAAGACTTCTGGTTAAAACAGCCTCAGAGCGACTGTGTGTCACTGCGGCGCAGTGCCAGCGCGGGCCCCGGTGTCCCCGGTTCCCTCTTGGCGGGGGTTGGGCGGGCAGGGCCCAGCAGCTCCCCGTCCCGCCGCGGTTGGGGTTACTCCCGGACAGGGCTGCACGATGGCATCGGGGCACGTCCCTGAGCACTGGCACCCCTGTTCTTGTCTCACTGCATCCCAGGGGACATTGAGCCGTGAGACTGGGTCTGCGGGAGCGTGTGCTGCAGGCCAGGCGGCCCGTTGTAGCCAAGCAGGGCTACGGCTCTCCCGACGTTAACTTTGCAAGCGTAAGTCATCCCGGGAAGTTAACCTTCTGCCAAGACAGGAGCTTCATGCTGTGCCGGATCCTCGGGAAGGAAGTGCATCTGGTGGACCTGCCTGCTCAGAGACGGGCTGTGGAGAGCGGGCAGGATCCAGCCTGACTTGCGAGAGCAGAGGGAGCTGGGCTTGTTCCTGTGCCAGGAGTGCAAAACACGCACGGTTTTCCGGTGTAGCCAACTTGGACAACCTCCTTGTGTAAAGGAACCCAAGTTGTCGCCAGCGCTTCGGAAGTGATACCACGTTCAGTTGTTTTGCGGACGGTGCTGGCATCCTCACTTGTGCAGGCTGTCGTGGTTGGTTGAGAGACAGACACCCACGTGCTCGGTCGGCTGTTTGCAAAGAAACAACCTGGCGGGACAGAAGGGTGTTGTTCCAAACGAGGGGTTTCAGCAGGGTAACCCTCTGACTCGCAGTCGCGCGTGGAGCTCCCCGGTTAAACCGGCGCCTGAACGGCGAGCTCCTGCGCTCTTCCTCTGCATATGGGGCGAGGGTAGCTCGGGGGTTCTTACTTCGGTTAGAGAAAGGCTAATTCCAGCTTGCCTGGGCCATGCAAGTGTTATTTTTAAACTTGCTGCGACTCCCCATGGGAACCGGCGAGGGAGACCGTCTGCAGCCGTAGCGCTTGGCCTGTAACCCGGCCCCGTCCTTCGTGGTTCCCCTGCGCGGCGTCTTGTTACCGTCCAGAGCCGAAGCACCGCTGCTGGCGGGCTCTGCAGAGCGAAGGCAGTCAGCGTTCCCCGTTCCGCCCGGGTTTCAGGGCAGGTGCTTGTCCAGGTGCTGTAATGTCTCTAGTGTCAGGCCGAGGGTGTAAATTCTGGTGCAGAAACCCGAATCGCGGTTGTGTTCCAGTGCTTCAGAGGATTTCTGCCAAAATGTGTGCAGGGTAGCGTGCCCGGGCTTCGGGGGCCTGTGACGAGCGCTGGCACTGAGCAGCATGTCGTCATTTGAATCTGAGGTAGCAGTGTCCCCTGTTCTGACAAGGTCACGGGCCGAGCGGTGTGCTGGCGG